CTGAACTTATATTAAACCTGCAATATTCCTTTACAAGCAAGTTTTTTTTTCATTCAGAAGGTGAAAGAGTATCTAAGGAGTATCTTTAAAGTGAGCGGATGCCCTACAGTTCAGCAAAATCATCTCTTTTCTGTTAATTTATGGCCATATGTTTAAACCGTAGATATGACGCACACGCACACACAGACACACAGAAGCGTCTAGAGGATCATCTAGGCTTAGCTTGATTCTTTGTCGATTAGACATGTTGTTGGATTTTGACTCTCCTAAGCACACACAGTCCTCTGTTTCCTGCCATGATTTCTCGCCCTGTCCTGAAAAGCGACTATGAGGAATCCACATCCCGTTCTGAATGCACACTTGTTCCTACTCTCGATTGGCCATTCAGCCCCCTCTAAGGAGACAAGCCCCAATCACAATATTGTCAAGGCTCTGTTGGTTTTCTGGTTCAAATCCTTGTTCACGCTGTTTGCTGAGTACTCATCTGCTGTGACAGCCTTCAGACAAACAGAGGCTCCTGAAAGAGGACTTCCACAAGCAGATCCTTCCTGCTGGGCAGTGGCTGAAACGGCCCTTTCTCTCGCCATCAAGTGGAACCCAGCCTATTGAGCCGGCCCCTGGGAGCCCCACATTGAGGCGGGCTATGGGCCAGCGCTTCGCCCCTCGGGCCCTGGGCCACCCTCACGTTGTTCCAGGACACCTGTGCCCACCTACCGCCAGCGTGGGAACCCTCGGCAGTGAACCTTGTTAACTAAATCAGCTGTGGGCTGAAACCAGAGACCAATTTAGACAAATTATTTTTAATCCTGTGTTCTGGTGAAACAAAAGTTAGACTGAAACTTTTGTTCTAAACAATTTCAGGTGATAAAAATGGCCAGACTGAACCAAGAAACGGGTTATTGTTTTAGAAGTTGACCCACTTCTTTACCCCCCCACCACCACCACCATCCCCACCCCCCAGATGAGGCACCAACTAAATCTCCATGGCACACCGCAGAAAAATGGCATCAATTAATCAGCATTCATGAACCGTTTACTTGAGCCCCCCTTTGTTTGAAGCAGGGTTTAATCCAGACAGAGGCCTGGCTGTTTGGATCCCTGCAGACAGCAGCGGTCGGACCATTGTACGCTCACATCCACTGGCACTGCACAAATTCTCATTCCCTCACACTCTCATCTGCTCATTTGTCATCGACGACAGCGCTCTCAGCTTTCCGGCGATGACAGCTATATTCTTTTTCGCTCCGATGTAAAGGTGAACTTAAAGCGAGCTAAAATCATCCAAAGTAATTAGATTACATTTATGTGACAGATTACACTCAGGCGCAAGTATCCGTCTCATTTTCCAGTCGGAAGTTGTTCGTGCGTCTTTGCGGGGCCAGAAAAGGCAGGAAGTTCTCTCTCTCTCAACGTATTTCTCTCTCTCCCTCTCACCGAATGCCAGCTTTGCCAATTCACTCCGCCGCATGTGTGAAGACATCTGTCCATATTCCAAATCTCCCATTTTGGTGCAAATGATCCTCCTTGAAGGAAGCAATTTTTACAATGTGGCAATTCTCAGATTTCCATCAAGGCTCAGTGCCTTTGCCTTTCGCCTCACCGAAGAAGCAAGTTTAATTGGAAGGCTGCATTTAAAGCCATTCCACAATTATACAATTATACTGAAGATGCATGTCTGCATGTTGCTCAGTTTGCGCCAATTTACTGCACTTTCTGCACAGTTAAGACTAGCGCTCCTTTCAGTGGATGCAAATTCCCCTCATTTGGCTCCAAATGAAGCATAATTGCTCATATTCAAGCAAACACCTTTGCTATGAGAGGTTCTTCCTAGTTGGTTCATATTAAATCTGAGGAGAATGAAAAAAAAATCCCAAAATCCATTTGCGCACACGTGCCAGCTGGATCATTCTGTTTGGGGGAATGATGAGGAAATGGATGATGCAATTGAGCACATTGAACATTAAACATCCTGCTAGCACTTTTAATTCAGCAACCGCCGTCTCCAAACTTCCCTGTATGTTCCTAAATGCCAATTAAAGAAGTAAAAACTGCTTCCATCCGTCAAGTTGGTTTCATTTAGATTTCGCTTAAAACTTGAATCAAAAGCGATTGTATTTTGCCATCACGGATGACGCGGCATCCCAATTAGTTCAAGCGCAGACGTTTCCCCTTCGGTCGTAAAACGAAATGGAATTATATCACCCAGACATTCCACCATCAAAGTATACTCTAGCCTTTCCGCTCTTTTGTTTCGGTCGCCGCAAGTTAGAGAGGGTCTTGTCGTTCAAAAGACCCAAAGTATCTGAAGTGGCGGCGCAAGCACACCACCGACAATGGCTTACAAGAGTCTGTTTTAATTCATACCCTCTTTTTAAAAAAGGGGGACAGCACAACAAACCGTTGACCCACTGATATACAATTAAGAGTGATGCGGCAGTTAATGCTACAAGCAACTCTGTTTAACAGTCTGTCTTTGACCCACTGCCACTGAATAAATATAATGCAGAGAGCGAGAGACCGAACGAGAGAAAGGGATCCAGGGAGATTTTAAGCACAGATAAGTAGTTAAAGACCTTTATAGAGTATAACACCATTATCTTTGCTGAATAAAAATAGGATTTAGTGTTTTTTCCACTAGTTAAATGAATCAATGCTACTATTAATAAAACAAAGCAAAAACAGTGAGCCATTGTGGTAATGAAGTGAAAATAAAAATCATTAAAAAACAATTAAACTGAATTTGTAACTTACCATTAATTATCCTCAGATGTCATTAAGGTATGAATAAAGTGTGCATGTATTTAGAAAATTTGCCTATTTACGATCACAATACAAACAGGTTTTTAAGTACTAAAATGCTTCAATTACACATTTCATATACAAAATGCTCACCATATTTCCTACACTATTCTGTAGCCCTGAACATTTATGCTTTCCACCAGCAAACTAAGTGTGTTAAGGATGCAAAGTTTTGCCTGTATAAAGTTTGAACCTACAATCAAAAGAACGTGTATAATCAAACGAGCCAACACTTACTGCAGTAGGGCGACATCGTGTGGGTTTAATACATATTGCAGATTAATTTACTAAGCACGAGCTACTTTTTATAAAACGTCACCAGGGAAACTTGAAATATTTTCATGCCAGGGTTATTATAGTTATCTAAACCATAAAACATTTTCCATAAAACAACCACAAAACATTTCTGTTGCTTAAAATAAAGGTTAACTGAAATAATAATAAAAACTTAAACATGTTATTTCAGCTTGCCACATTTCTCATTCTCATTTACTTTAACTTAACTAAAATCACTAAAAATACATAAATCTGAAATAAAAATAATAAAACTATGTAGACATATATTAAAAAAAACTAATAAAATGACAAAAACACAGCAAAATTACGAAACATTTAAGTAAAATTAAAATGAAAACTATAAATTTAAAAATAAAACGAACTCAAAATATTAATTAATAAAAATAGCCTAGTATCTCAGTGATACCAAAAAAATCACAGTTTCATGCTTATAGTAAATGGTGCAGTTTATATATTGTATATTTTTAATTGATTGTAATATTTTTTTTTTACCTCACATCACTGTCGTATATAAAAGAAAGTATTAACAACTAGAAAAGTCCATCAAAACAAACTTACAATTTACTGAAAAAAGGTGTATATATACATGTTTGTTAACTTTAAGTCCATCTATATGTAACTGTACTACTAAACGTCACTTTTAGCAAGTGAACTCATTTAAAATGTACAACCTTCTCTTCCATAAAACAGGCAAACAATAATAGATTTACATTTATTAATTTAGCAGATGCTTTTATTCAAAGCAACTTACAAATGAGGATATTAATGATATTATTGACTCAACCTGCATTACACAGATTGCTGTCCAGTAAAATGAATAATTTAGAACTTTAACAATATAGATCATAAATTCAATATCCCTGTTACTTAGAAGAGGACTGAAGTATCCTCAACTGAACAACTAGAGCTGGTAACACATGGTCTCTTAAAATAAAATAAAATAAAATCGATAGATAGATAGACTAAGGATCAGTCTCTCTGAATCAGATATCAGAAATCAGAGCTTCCAGTGCAGACAGTAGGCCTACATACACAGAGCAATAGACAAATAATAAAAAAAATAAAGTACAAATGTGCTGCTATTTACTACTAAATGTGCCTTTTTTTGTTGGGTAAATGCTGTATATATCGTGCTTGCAATCTAAACATAAACCACATGGTGGTGCTATAACAAAAACTATCAACAGGCTGACAGCGTGAGTAAAGGGGTGAGCGAGGGCGTCCATTATTCAGTACTTCTGGTAAAATGCATTTGATCTCATCCCAGACACGACCACGTAGTATTATTAATGGTTCATGTAGTCTATGTATTTACAATGCGACTGATTGTCTGTTATGATTTAGGGCAGTGACACAGTGATTCACATCGTCAAACTGAAATAGCCTATGTTAGAAAGTGGTGTTTTAATGCATGTAAAAATGCATTATTACATATACTGTAGCCTATGTCACATTCAGTGATTGAGCTTAACCGAGTCATGATACATGATACTACAGCATACACTAAACAACATAGCTTACTGCAAAATAAACATCATGTTTTTATTAGATATAACTGACTTCGACCTTGTTATTTATATAAAAAATGTATTCTGGAATTTCCATGCTTTGTCACAAGATACACTGCTAATTAAAGAAAACAAACAAACAAAAAATCTCAGCAATAAATGAAAGAAAGTAAAGTGTATTTCCTTTTAACCTTATAATGACAATTACATCAACATTACAAATAGAATATGTTCACTACGTTAATTTAAACTGAACAAGTTTTGGGAAATGCCAAAAAAAGAAAAAGAAAATCGTATCCAACCAAAAATACATTTCCCAGAAACCTGCGGCATGTGATGACGGCACCGAGGGGCGGGGCTTGTTGTCGTAGCGGCTCTTGCGTTAGTAGAGTAAAATGTGTTTGACAGGAATCTGAACGACAGGAGGGGGCGGCGGCACACGAGTGGAAAACCGCACCTTCAAGAGATCGCCATCACTTTTTTTCCTCCTCGCGTGCAGTCCGTTAACAGCGGGTAGGCGAATGCGGTGAATTATTTGAAGGCTCAGCAACAGGGCACATAGAGTACAGGATGCCTCTGAGTGTATCAACCCCGCGCGCGGGGAGCTCCCGCGACTAACGCCGCGCAAAGTATCCAAAAAGGAGAATGCGAATGGTTAGAGAGGACAGGATTCAATTAATATGGAAACGATGTAGCATCACCGCCGCATTGCATATAGCTCGGGGAAACAGGTTAGAAAGTAGATAGCTAAATAGGGCGCATTTTGCCGTCATACATGCAAACTTACTCATCATCAAGCTCAACTAGCCTGTAGTTGGCTGCAACAAAAGGAACCGCTGCTCGACAGTGTCTTCAGATACCAAAGAAGACAGAAGAATTAAAGATGTTACGGAGGAGGCTCAACCGATTGGTATGTATGGCACTCTACCTGTTACTTTAAAGAAGATGTAATCGAGTCTGTAAGTAATGATCAGCCTGAGTCTGACAACAGGGCGCATGTCGATGAAACATCTCAAATGCTGCATAAGTGGAGCGTTTATTTAAAAACTAGGGAGCCACCCTGCAGAAAGTTCTGAGTTTATCAACACCACCAAAGCTGTAATTAATTGAGGTATGCAGTCAACTTCCTGTTAACACTGGCCAGCTGTTGCTAAGTGAGTCGTGCCACGCACATATTAACGATTCAAAAAATGTATGGGCTTTAGCAGCCGTGAAAAAATATTTTTTGTGAAGCTGACGGTTGTTTGAAACGCTTTTGAGTTGGCTACCTAGGGTTAGGAGGACAGGCTGGGTTTGAGACACTGGCGACGCCTCTGTTGTGGTGAAGATAGTCGTTTTAGGCAGCTCGTTCAGATGTGTCCTGCCAATTTTTTAAAGTTAAGCTGCATTCCTGATAGCGCTAATCAAATAATACTGCTCAGTCTTGCAAGCTAAGCCCTTTAAGCGTTGTACTTGAATCCAATAATTAATTTCCTAATGCCCTTCGTTGTTGTCGCAACCTTTTAGATGCTAACTTTATTTGGGCACGTGATGCAGTAATTCTGCTCTTACCACATAATTGCAGAGCATCCGGGCAGTGCCGGAGTAGCTCTTGAGATCTAATGTTGGGTTGAAGACGAAGCCTGTTGTTAGTCTTGGCTGTTTTAGGCTGTGGTGGGAATACTTGTAATCAAATTTCTCCCTGTTTGTGCTTCAAGTATTGTTGTAATTCACCCTTACAAATGAATTCACTACGCTCTCCATATCCGTAAAGGGGTGGTTCATCCCAAAATAAGCATTTATTTCCTCACCCTCATGTCATTTGGAACCTGCATGACTGCCATTCTTCCATGGAACACAAAAGGAGGTAGAGAATGATAACTGATTCTATCATTGTATGAAGAAAAAAAAAGGAGCAGTGAAAGTTTACATGGTAGAGAGAAGTTCAATTCAGGTTTGGAACAACATGAGGGAGATTAAATCATCACACCACTGTGCCTTTAATATGGCTGTGTCAGATTGTCTTGTAATGTATTGTAATGTGTTGAATGTATGAAATGAAACCTCTGTTTGCTTAATATTATATTATTCTTACCATTTGTTATTTCTGGGTCAGTGTGAGCAAATCACATCCTCACTTGCTTAGTCTTGAACTATTTGTATAAACCAGACCTTGGTCTATTCCCCTCACAAGGTTTATGTACCTGAAATTATTAGTAGTTTGCATAAAAGGAGGCTTCCTAGATCACGATTGCAACTAATCAAATAGCTATACACCAACCAACCTCTTGATCCAACAAACCCTCTCTATGTCTTTAAATTCATCCCGTTTTAGGCACTTCACACAGAATATTTTCTATGTAATCGTGCTAGACTTATGTGTTTGTTGTGTTCGCGCCATGCATCTTTTGCAGATTCTCGCAGTTGAGCATTGCTATGTCTGGTTTAATAAAAGGTCGTCCCCCTCATTCATGACTGTAATGCAAATGCATTCATTGTGAATGGCCACTTAAAGTCAGCATGAAATGAAAATTCACTTTATTTTCCAAATGCATGTTATGTATCTTATTGTGAAAAATTTATCTGATATTATGTTTAATTTAATTTTTTTTACATCGTAATTTTTTAATAAAAATGTCAGAACTGGATAACTGATGTATGCTGGACTTCTCCAGTCCTTTTAGTCTGCTTAAACCCGTCACTGCAAGCTAACATTCATCTGCCTTCATTCTTGACTGCATCGCCCACATCAACAACTGATGGATAGAACCAAGCCTCCGTCCTATACAGTAGGGCTGGGTATCGATTCAGATGTCCCGATTTTGATTAGAACTTACAGCTGCTGTGTATGTGATACGACGGTAGTTTTCTCAAATGAAACGGTAAAATGCTAATGAAGTGACTCTCAGAGCAGCTGGAGATGACATTGTGTTCATATCATCATATAGTGAGACGGCAGAAGCTGAAAACACCGCGAGCGTCATCCGCGCTTTAGTATGTGTGTAGTAAACAAAACAGTGCGTCGCACCATTCATTGCGGAAATCATGGCGCCTTATGCGTTAATCAGATCTTGTTTTAAATGTGTGCTGAAATAAATACCGGAAAAGATAGATTCGCGGCTTTTAAGAATCGATATCGAATCGACGTCATTTAAAAAAAACGATTAATCGAAAAATCAATTTTTTTTGCCCAGCCCTACTATACAGTATATGTTTTTTTTGATAATCCATTACACTCAGATGTACGTGATTGTGTTTTGTTAGCTGATTTCTGATTCAGCCGAACCCAAAACCAGCCTAATTATTCATGGCTACCTTGAGACCAATAAGTCGGCTAGGCGATTTTGAAAAATTTCCACATCTCTACCGGTCCGGTAGGTCACATAGGTTCCTTTTTTTATGCTGAGCCGCTTTACTACCTTGTCTCTTTTTATAGTGTAATTCTCCCATAACCTGTTGGTGCCATTAGGTTAAATCGTGCTGCTGGCAGTGTGTGCGCTATAGATACCAGCAGTAATAGACCAATATAATGATACCATGCTCTGATATTCCCGCAGGTCTTGTAATGTTACTCAAGTCAGCATATTCTCTTGCGCTGCTATGGGCTTTGCTATCTTTTTGTATGAATCATAAATAACGTTTGCGTGGTCGCCATACCTGTTGTTACTGATGCAGACAGTATTGTTATTACAGCATCTCAAGTCATTCTTCTCAGATAACATGGACAACTGTTTACTGGAAAGTCAAGGTCTGTGTAAACTATACGAGCAGGAATCTTCTGTTTTGATGTGCTGCTAGATCGGTATACTTGGAAAAGTCATTAAAAATTGTGTTAGCTGCTACAGCAATGCACCTTTGATTTGTTCTCTGACAGGAATGCTAAATCTTGGTGCTTTTGATGTTCTCTCAGTCCTTGAAGATAGTGGCCTGTTGTGTCTTGACTGGTGGTCTGGAGGAAATGTGATGGCATTCAGGTTTGAATCTCTTTCGTAAAGATTGGAAAACAATATGGACAGATATGAAAGGCCTAGTTTTCCGGAAAAGCCTGCTTCTCTTCTGCGGGTGAGTGCTGAGTTAGTTTAGGGAAATGCAAGAGTTGGTTCAAACGGTTGCTTTTCTCATGTGTTGAGTAGTGCCTTGACTATTTAAGAGCTGCACAGTAATGGTTAAATTGATAATCCCGGTTATTTAGAGTATACATTTTCAAGATAAATAACCAGTGTGGGTCAATATTGCCTAATCATAAGAAGCAGAAATTGTGATCATTAAAGTATGATTAATCATGCAGCCCTATTATTTACAGACGTTCTCTGAACAGTCAGTTTATTTGTTTTAGTTAGACTTCAGAGTAGCTGTTGATAGGCCTGTCGCAATAATCAATATATCGACTTATCGCGCAAAATTTCCATGATCTAAATATTCTATAGTTTGTTGTCATTTGGAAGTGTGTAGGCCTTCTTGCATTATTATGCTGTTACATTATGATTATATATTCAGTGGCATAAAATGGTCTTTAAAATGACAATAATATCGCTTATCGCAATTATTTCTGGGACAATATATCGCACAATAAAAAGTTGTTATCGTGACAGGCCTAGCTGTTGACACATCTACTGTACGTCAGGCCCTGTCTGACTGGATTTCTCTATGTTGTGCTGTCACTTCTCTCTGAGCATTTATCGCAGGTCCTTCCTCTTCACCAGTTAAAGGTGAAGTCAGAGCTTCCTTTGGTGCGTACGATGCTCTCTTAGGAAAGACTTTGCCTCTTTGAAGCAAACCCCTGAGGAGATCTGAAGATGGAGCTGTGCAGATGTTATTAACCGTGGCTTACCCAAAGAACACTGCAAGTGTTTGATGTGCGAGGGTCTTTTTTCTCTCCTCTCTGTAGTTTTTCACCATCTGTAATAATTTAATAAATTTTGCGATATTGTGAAACATCCGTGGGATGTTTGTCTTTTCTTTCTACCATCTTTTTCAATTTATTGGGATTTTTTACAGCGGCAACAACAGGAAACAACATGAAAGGGTGGGTGGGAGAATATGTGCTACAGGGAAATTAGGAAATAACCGGATCCCGGATTCAAACTCTGGTGAGCCATCAGGCTACACTTCCCATCAAGTTGCATCTTTTTTCTAATTGTATTGTACTGCTGTTTTCCAACGGAAGTAGTGACAGATCTTTTCTTCCCTATTGTGACGTACATCTGAGTGAAACTGGTTATCAAAAAAAAAATTGGTTTAGGAATTGGTTCTATCCATTTGATTTTGAGATGTGGATGTTGCACTCAAATGAATGTAAACGTGTAAGAAAGGGGCGGAGTTAAAGCAGACTAAATGATTGGAGTAGACTGGCATACATCACCAAGAAGATGTTTTCATTGGAAGATTGAGTTATGACATTTTGTAAAAAAAATAAAAATAAAAATTAAGCCTATACTTGGATGATGTTACCAATAAGATCTATAATAGTCATTTACAAAATATATAGTGAATTTTCATTTCATGCTGAAAATCATTCACTCAACTACCAGTGTCCCTCAGCACTATTGCTGGCACAAGTCCCACAGAATTCTGGCATATTAAAAGCTTGCATGTGCATCATGCACCAGCTTTTCCTCTGTGTACAAGCCAGGTAATTTAGAGTACCTCAAATTTTAAGGACGTCCCATCATTTATAAGCAACTGCTGAGATAATTTGCATGCGTTTCTATGCTATTGTTTTCAACAGTGCTGAGATTTGAACCTAAAAAGGGCTTTCAGTACCCCTCGTGATTGGCTGTCTTGTCCCTGCTTTGTCTGAGTAGTCAGTGTACTATCACGCAAGGGCCACTCCGTCCTGCTCCACTCCGCTGCCTCCACTGTGGTGTGTCCTAGCTGCTAACCAGTCGGCCGTCTGGCTGTGCCTATAAAGGATGTTTTTGGGTGTCCGGG